ACTCTCAAGCGGTGCACTGTAGCAGTGCGCCACCGGGCCGGCCCTTGGATAGCATTTTTATAGCTATGTGCTTAGATGTCAGGGCTTGTTCTTGTGAGAGTGACAGTATCTCAATCCAGCCTGTATAGTTTGTTACAGTTCATAGAACAAAATGTGACCTTGGATGAGTCACTGATCCTGGTTTATACCAAGCCTTGATTTCTTAATCTCTGAAAACAGATAATATCCACATCGAGTGTGTGTGTATGTGTGGTATGTTGTATGTGTTGTGTATGTGTGTGTGTGTGTATGCATGTGAGGTGTGTGTTGTGTGTGTGTAGTGTATGTTGTGTGTTGTGTGTGTGTATATGGTATGTGGTGTGTTTGTGTGGTGTGTGGCAGTGTTGTGCAGTGTGTGTGTGTATGGTGTGTGGTATGTGTTGTATGTATATGGTGTGTGGTATGTGTTGTGTGTGGTACGTGTTGTATGTATACCATGTGTGGTGTGTGGCAGTGTTGTGCGGTGTGTGTGTGTATAAGGTGTGTGGGGTGTGTGTTTGTGTCAAGGGAGGCTCCCATAATCACAACACTTAATGCACTTGGTAAAAGCACTTGAGAAAGGTAAATGGTAATGTGCTGTACAAATATTGATATCCCAATGACTTGTTATGTGCTGGGAGACTTTACCCTCAGAGCTTAAATTTCATCTGAGGAGATAAGGCATGTATGACATGCATACGTGAAAGAGTGAAAAACAACAACAACAACAACAAACACTACCAGGCAGTCTTAGATTAACTGTAAGAACCGTGGGAGTTCAGAAGTGGGTCACCAGGGCTGGCCGCTCTGGAGGTGGTTTTCAACTTTTTTGCTTGTGTACCCTCTCCATGAACTTTGGGGAGAAAAAATCTCTTCTGCTTCACACATGTTAACTTGACATCTAAAATGTTTAATTCTAAGTTTAATTAGTTACAAAGGATACAATTTCTGCCATATTTTAAACATTGACCCTTTAGAATAACATTATACCCCTTTTGAAAATGTATCAGATGGAGACTAAATAATAGCAATTTTTAATTTTTGTCATTTTTATCATGTGTATCACGTATATACAGTAAATTGAACAGATCTTCAGTGTGCAGCTCAGTTCATTTTTACCAGTGTCTCAACCACCTAGATCAAGGTGTGCGACATCTCTCGCACGGAAGACAGCCTGGTATCCCCCTCAGTCAGTATCCTCCAAAAGGTGACCACTTCTGTGACCTCCAGCACCATAGACTAGTTTTGCGTGATCTCATTTTTCTGGCTTCCTTCAATAAACCTAAGGTCTGTGACTTTCAAGCACTCTGCTGAAGGTAGCAGTAGTTCATTCTCTCTCATTGCTGTCTGATATTCCACTGAAAGAACATCTCACATTTAAAAAAATCCTCCCTACTTTTACTGGACAGTTAGGGTTGTTTCTGATATTTGGCTATAAAGCTACTAGAGTATTCTTATATATATATTTTTGGTGGACATAAGCACTGATTTCTTCTGGGTATGTTTCCAGGAGTGGAATTGCTGGGTCATAGGATAGGCACCATAATACATTGATTTCCATCATCATCCATCAAAAATTACCTTAAAAAATAAAAAATTTTACACTGTTCCTTTATTTACCTTTTTGAACTCATAATTCCCTTCCACTTCCTTCCCAGAATTTTGATGTTTTTGTGCTTGAAACTTTTTTTATTGATTATGATACTTTCTACCCCAAATATGTATGTAAATTGAAATGTACGTTTAAATTTTTTCCTTTGACCATAATATTCTAAGGATCTTTCTTTTGGACTGATTTACCATTACAATGATTGCTAATACACAATTCATCAAAATAACATTAATATTTTACACATTTGAGAAATTATTAAACATGAAAAGTATGGGAAATGCTTTTCATAACCAGATGGATGGGGTGCTTGATGGCAGCACCTCTCAAACTTTAAGGTGCATAAGGACCACCCAGGGATCTTGTCAAAATGCAGATTCTGATTCACATGGTCTGGGCTGAGGCCTGAGATTCTAGTCTGCTTATTTTTTTGTTTTTTAGCTTTATTGAGGTATCATTGATATACCAAATAACTGCACACATTTAATGTATACATCTTGATAAGTTTGGACACTCTGTGTTTCTAATAAGCCTGCTGGTGATGCTGATGCTGCTGGTCGAGGGGCCACATTTTGAGTACAAGGGTTTATAGTTCCTTGATAAAAGGAAGATTTGCTAACACCAACATTTTAAATCATCCCCTTTTCTGGCACCCAGATGTTTTGACACTTTGGGGCACTGCACTATAGTCAGATTCTGGATGAGTGAGAACTTGATCTTTCTGCTGTAAAGAGGGGGGCCATGTCCATGAATCCTCATGTGACTTTGCTCCAGGCAAAGGCTCCGACATCTGAGGACGGGCTGGGAGGTGGGAAAGGAGAGTAGTCATGCCAGCTAGACTGAGGCATGTTGTCAGGCAGAGCAGGTTTAGGAGAATGGAATAGAAGAAGGGGAATAGAAGCTGAGATATCTCAGGTTGATTTCCCAAAGCCCACTCCAGAGTAATAAAAGAAGCAACTGCTCTACTATGCCCCTGCTTTATTTTTGATTTTAGTAAGTCCTGTCTTTTGACTTTTTTTCTTGGTCAGTCTAGATAAACGTTTGCAAATATTGTAGATCTTTTTAAAGAATCAAAAAAAAAAAAAAAAGAAAAAGAAAAAGAGACTATTAAACAGTCTATGAAGCACCGTTGATGTAAATATTTTAATCAAACATTACATAATTCTTTCAGGGTATAATAATCTTTATAT